AATTAAGACGATTTAATGATTAAAGATGTGGTTTTATGTGTCAAGGCCAAATATAATTTACAAGAAAACATTACTCTGAGTAAATAAATCAAAATGATCAAATATAATTAATATAAAAACATGATTATCTTCTATAGTTTACGTAAGGAATAAAGCATGAAGCAGAGTTACCACTCCAAAATTGATTATTTTCCAATAAGAGCACATCTGGAAGTGTTTTATTCCTCTTATTCCTCTCATACCACAGCAATTTGCCAGTGATTCCATTTTTTAAGTTAATTAAAGAAACAATGTCTGTGAAACAAGTTAGTTCCTGTTCTCACTTACATTATAGCAGCTATAAACTGTTGTTTCCTCAACAGCTTCTGTTTTTTTCTCTCTCTCTTGAAGTTAATAAGACGAAGAAAAAAAACACAGCTTGTCATGTTATTAAGAAACAGCAACGCCCAAACTTCTGTCATGAAGACTTTCCCATGTGGGAAAAATTACTGACTGTTAGAAAGTGCTGACACTGGAGACTCCTTCCATAAATAAACCTTAAATAAACCTCTTTTATTTCAACGATTATACGTTTTTCTGTTAAACAACAGCATTTTTAAAAATCCGTTAATTATTAGCCTTAGATTATTGTGGATTATTGGGTAAATCCCTGTGAATTTGCTGTTACTATAGAAACAATGACGTGTTAGAAGGAGCGCATTACTGTAATCCTGTGATTTGAATTACAGCTGGCACTATTGTCAGAGCTGCTGTTAGAGGAAATGAATCAGCACCTTCTGACTAATCAGAATTAACAATTCATCGGCATTTTGTATAAGGCTATAAGTGATACTAAGATGCAAGTAAAAGTTTTTAGACCTGCACATACAATATCCACGATATTGAAACTGTTACACTGTTGAGATTGTAGTAAAGGAGATGAAACATACACAAACATATTCTGCGTTCGTACAGGTAGCTGATGGTGTCAGGACAGCTCTGACCCGACGCGATGCAGGCCGAGTCACTTTTTTATCGCTGCAGTGAAGCGGAGATGCTGGCCTGTTTGATAATGTGATTTTGTCATGGAGAGACTAAATGAAGACGAGATGCGGCACTGCGGGTTTTTCAGTGCTGCTGGATGGAGGAAGAGGTGAACTGCAGGTCATGTAATGAGCACTTAGGAGCACGTCCGTCTGCTGGAACAGGAACGGCTGTTGAAGGAACTACAGCAGAAACATCCTGCAGGAATATTGATTGTGCATCCAAGACCTTTAGTTGGCTCTTAATTTCTGGGATCAAGCAACATTCATGCCTTGTCCTCTTCAAGCACACAGTGTGATGTGTGAAGGCAGGTATGAGCTGCTCAGTCAGCCATGTTTCATTGCTCATCGCGATTGCTGTCTAAAGTCATTAAGGAATTTTACAGATGAGAATATAGGAAGCGATAAAGGTCTAAACACACAAGTGTTTTAATTATGCAAATATGACTTACACTCTCTAACCCGTTAAACTTCCAGTACCTATGATGTCTATTTCTTCCCTTTTGTAATTCTGCACATTTCCGACAGGTTGACTTTAATTGCTACTGAATAATTCATAGTCGCTGCTGAATAACATGCTTTACGGGAGTTTACCAGGTTAAAAACTGGATGTATTTATTTCCTCAAGCTGTAGCCTATTTCTGTTGCACTCAGGACAGATATTACACTCACGGCAGATAAACACAAAGGTAAACATTTTTTTTATTTATGCATTTTATAGAAGACAATAATGTGAAGCTGGATCACCTGACTAAGTCAGTGTATTGTATATTTACAGGTTATGTTGGTAGCAAGAAAAATACTTTCTAATGCATCTTCCTTCTGTACAATTTACTGTTCTTCAGGAAATATAACCCCCTTTCTATTTATATGTTTATCAGTAATCACAGAACCTGCACATTATGTAAACTGTGAATGCATTTCATATCAACAGGCAGAATATGTTTAAATGACTCACTGAAGCACTACCATGCGGGTATCAGGGCCGAAACTCTGATGGATGTTCTGAACATCTGACACAAAAGAATTTTGAGAGATTAAAGGAGTAACTGTGATGAATTATTATTATTATTATTGTTATTATTATTATTATTATTATTATTAAGAACTCCAGGCGGTGATGTGTAATGATCAGGGTTTTTTTTTTATTAAATTAAAATATTTTACAGATTTTCAGAAGTCAAAACTTGGCTCCAGCTTTAACATACCTGCTGCTCACACTAGTGGAAGTTGCTAAACTTCCTGAACCTGTAAGGAAGAATATATATTTATTTACCAGGAGAAAAGCCATGAACTGTAATTAATACAGTAGTGAGAGCAGGATTTCACTTCAATACTTAAACCTCACCTTGGTGAACTGAAAAGTAGGAACTAATGCAAAGCAGTATTTGACTGAAATGAAAACATTTTCATTAAAACTGATATTTTTCAGACAAGTTCCTCAGTTGTCTTTTTATCTGTTGTTAACTTTGATAAAGACATGCAATCTGCTATAAGGATTCATAACACACAGAGATCAGAAATGAATGACACTATGGATTAAAATGGACTGTTATTAATCTATAAAGCCATGTTAGCTACTACATCCTAATATATAAGGAATAACACACGACAGACTGTGCGGTTATACAAGAATAATCCAGGTTATCCAATAATTTCATATAACAGTGTGTTATTCCACTTACATCATAGTGATTTCCCAGTGATTGCAATGTTTAAATTATTAATAAATGACATGTCACACATTTTAGCAGTTTATAGTTAGATTTAATGTTGTGGAACGCCTGAGCGACAAGTTAGTTCCTGTTATCACTCACATTATAGCAGCTATATGTTCTTTCCCTTACCAGTCTGTCTGTCTGTCTGTCTCTCTCTCTCTCTCTCTCTCTCTCTCTCTCAAAAACCCCCCCACAAAAAACACAGCTTGTCATTTTACCGAGTTGCAAAGCTCTTAGACCCAAGACTCCTTCAATAATTGTTAAATAAGTCTCCTTACAAAATACTTCACCACACCAAAGATTATACATTTTACTTTGTTAAAACTACATGTTTTTTGTTTTTGTTTTATTATTCATTTTGATAATGTGCGGAGTCTGGCATTCGGAGAATGAGCAGTTACTATAGAAACAATAACGTATTAGATTCATGTTACAGACGGAACTGCTGTTCGAGCCATACAAAAATAACGCACACCTTCTGACCAATCAGATTTGTGAATTCAGCCACGCTGAGGAATACATCAGTTCAAGATTTATTTGTAATATTTGTTTCTTTTAAAAATGTGTTTAAAATGCAAATTAGTATCTAGACAATTAAACATATTCCAATTTGCATGTTATATCTATAACAAATGGATTATACTCCAGATTGTTTGCTTTATTTTTCTAACACTCCCAATGGTCGGTTTATTAAAATATGTAAACGGACAATTAAATTATGTGCTAGTTTGCATATTATGCATGCTCAGCTCAAGTAAATCATAATTACATAATAGCTTAAACCCTAAAATGTACCTGTGATGAGAATTTTCACTTCATGAGTAATTCCATGATTAGAGTTTACATTTACAAATATACTGTACTTCTAAAGTAAAGATATTTTAAACACTGCTGAAGTGTTTATGTGCATGTTGTGCATGTTGACATATAAATCAACGTCATGCTTGAAACATCATTTTCCATGAGTTGTCTATTATACTGTAGGTTTAATGAAAAATGTAGAATTTATTTTTATTTTAACATTCACGTTCATTCAACTCTGAACACATTCACCCCTATGAAATATTTCACAAGTCACAGGAACAACAGGAAGTTGCATCATCCAAATTTCCTGAAGATTGTGGGAAGAAGCAAAGTACGTACATTTGTTCTTCTTTTATTTTCAATGATATTGTGATGTTGGCTGATGAGGACATCTTGAAAATACTAGTGTGTTACCCAAAGTAAATAAAGTACATTATTGTATTATCAAAAAAATACATTTTAAGTAAATTATCAGAATTTATTTAATGTCCTCATGACATGGATGCTAACTACATTTTGTAATTCTAGCTAAAACAATTCAACCCTCTTACTCATTTAAGAGCAAACGCAGCCATTGTTAGCAAAGAAACGTTAAAAAAATAATAAAATAAAATAAAACAAGATAGTTAAATGCATGTTTTCATAGAATTAGTGTTGAAATAAATTATAAAAGAGATTTTTTAAGCATTATAAGGGCTGAATTTAGCTCTCGTTGTTCTGACTTAGTAACCTCCTACAGTATATTTCTATAAGATCTTATATGTTCTATAGGGAATGTGTGAGTGTGTGTGTGTGTGTGTTTGTGAAATCTGTTGTCCACATGTCTCTGAACCCTGTGGTGCTATAAAACAATTGATTATGATTATTTAACTTATGTGTGTCATATAGAAACTGATTTGCTGCTTCCCTTACCGGCGTTTTCTGCCTCACGCAGGACGGATCATTTCCCTCAGGATGCGTACAGCTTCCAGGCCTCACTCGACTTAATGGACTTCAGTAAGTCTGGACGGATTATTCATAGATGATTCCCTGGTCAGGCTTCTGGAGGAGCTTCAGGAAACACTCTGTATCTCCAGCTTATATCTCAGAAGTGTTGAAGTGTTGTTAAGATGCTGTTTCATGCTGAGCTGCTGTCGCAGTAGGAATACCAGGCCAGAATGATCTTTCCTTATCCCGCCTTATTCTATTTCTGTGCGGTTACTGTATAAAAGCGTCAGCAGGTTGTGTTTCGATCGCTCAGAGTCTAGACTGGTCTGTGCTCATCGATCCATGAAGCTCAGGGGATGGTTGAGCTCTGTGCCCAGCTGCTCGTGGATTAGAGATGGACAAACCCATTACACGCTGTTTCCGATGCCCATTTTATGCATGGATTTATGGTTTTATTATGATAAAAATGATGATGATGATGATGATGATGTTGATGATGATGATGATGATGCTGATGATGATAATAATGGGCAGTAGTAGCTCAGTAGTTAAACTGTTAGACTACAGATTACAAGGTCATGAGTTCAAATCTCAGCACCGCCAAGCTGCCACTGTTGGGCCCTTGAGCAAGGCCCTTATCCCTCCACTGCTCAGTATGTGTATACTGATGTATACATAATGTTTCTCTGGATAAGGGCATCTGCCAAATGCCATAAATGTAGTAGTAGTAGTAGTAGTACACACTGCACTTTCTTGGAATGATCTAAAAACAAAGGTGTGTCAAGTCTGCAGTTCCGCTCACAGACAGCAAGAGGAGACAAACACCGTTCATCTGTTATCATATCTCTTAAAGGAAACCTCCACCGTAAAACACACGAAATATGATTAGATTGAAATAATCGTAATGTGTTTAGTGATTCTGATGCAAATTTGTTGGTTGGTCTTGTATTTTTGATATTCCTGTGAAAACTTCCTGATTGTCTGCCACTCTGATGTCACAGGAGGACATTGTTATGACTAGTGCAGTTATAAAGGTGGAGAAAAAAATTTCACTGATCTGGAAAAATCACACTGCTTATGATAAGTAATAACCGTCAGATTTTGCTCTTAGCTCCTAAAAACAAAAGGGCAAGAGTGTCTTTTCTCACTTGCCATTTTCCAGTGACATTCAATGTCATGTTACTGAGAAATCCAACAAAAATAACGGAGACTCAAAGTTCCAGAATGCAGTGCAGCTGTACGCCAGAGACTGGGCTCAGCTAGTCGGTGATCTAGTTAGCAATGGCACTGATAATGATATTAACATGAAAGTTGAAGTTTTGGACTCTGATCTGTTTGAGCAGAGTTTACAGATGAGGAAGTGAGAAACCTGGACAGACTAAATGACTAAAGCGCCGCTGCATTGCTCACTTTACATAAAGATGAAGCAAGGGATAAATCCCACTGCATTACCTTCAGCAGGTAGTCAAACGGCATTGTGGGTAATGTAGGAAACATTAAATATTTCATCAAAGTGAAAGTAGACCAAAGAATTTCTTTATAGAACAAATCTTGGATTGTTGGACTGTTGAAGATCAGATGTTAATGGTGGATTTTATTTTTTAATAGTAATTTTTTATATTATGAATTAAGAGACAAGTGAATGTGTCTGTATTCTGTCCTCTATAGCTATAAGTATATTTGGTATGCAGCATTAATATGAGAAGTATAAGAGCACGTCACTGACTTTCGTAAAGACCTGTGTATATGAGTCTTACCTGTTTAATCTTGTCCTTACTGTCAGGTGTCTACGCCCCAAACAGGATGCATGTTAGCTGTCTTTTCTCAACAGCACCTCCATGACTAAAACTATCAGCCTGGGGCAAGCTGTTACAGATCCTGTACTTGACCTATAGGCCATATTGGCCTCATATATCATTGACATGCAGGGTTCTCATGTGAAATAGCGGTTAGCCCAGTCATCATTCTCCTCATATCTGAGTGAACTGAGCCATGTTGCCTTTTCTATGATCTGCTAGTGGAGCTGGTGTTTATAAAAAAACTGGTGCACAGGCTTTCAGGAGGAAGCAGCTTCCCATGATTACATGCACACTAAGTGGATTTCATTGGGATAATAAACTTTATCTGATCACATACTGTGCTAAAGCATAAAAATTTAAATAATCTGACAGAACAGATCAGGAACATTATATGGCACATCACACACTATATGACCAAAAGTTTGTGGACACCTGACCATCACACTCCTATGTGGTTCTTCCCCTAGCTGTTGGCACAAAGTTGGAGGCACACAGTTGTATAGAATGTCTTTGTATGCTGTAGCTTTAAGATTTCCCATCACTGGAACTAAGAAGCCCAAACCTGTTCCAGCATGACAATGCCCTGTGCACAAAGCGAGCTCCATGAAGACATGGTGTGTGAAGGTTGGAGTGCAAGAACTCGAGTGTCCTGCACAGAGCCCTGACCTCAACCCCACTGAGCATCTTTGGGATGAACTGGAACTCCGACTGCACCCCAGACCTCCTCACCAACATCAGTTCCTGACCTCACTAATGCTCTTGTAGCTGAATGAACACAAATCCCCACAGCCATGCTCCAAAATCTAGTGGAAATTCTTCCCAGAAGAATGGAGGTTATTTTAACGGCAAAAAGTTATAAATCCGGAATGGGATGTTCACCAAGCACATATGTGTCCACAAACCATTAGCCATATAGTGTATTTTCACACTAATCATATAAAGAGATAAAATGAAATAAATTGAAGCTCTGTGCTTCTATATGACAACTTTAAGTTCCCTTTCTTACACTGTACTAATAAAAATGCCTATGTTTAGTTCCTATCCAAATGCGTCTAATTATTTGAAAAGTTTGCAGTGTTGAAGAAGACTTAGCTCCACCACAGCTATTACATCACGTCATACAGTGCATAAGTATTCACCCCCTTGAACTTTTCCACATTGTTTAGTGTTACAACCTGGAACAGAAATGCGCTTTTTCTGTTTGATTTGCACAATATCTCTAACATTTAACGTTGTTGTTTTTTAATCATGGCACAAAGGTTAATTAAACAACAAAGCAGACATTTGTTGGTTGCATAAGTATTCATCCCCTCCTTGGGTCAGTACTTGGTAGAACCACTTTGGTTGTAATTACAGCTTAATCCTGTTATTTTTGTCCATTCTTCTTGGCAAGAATTTTCAAGCTCTGTCACACTGGATGGAGACGGTTGGTGGACAGCAAATTTAAACCTCAAATACCTAAAAAAAAAAAACTTTTAAAAATAAAAAAAACTGTCAAAGATGGCTTGTGATATCTATTTTTTAATAGTAGTAGTCACCTGTAGTTTTTTGCCTTACAATGCAATAAATGTTGCTTTAGCAAGTAAAAATATCTGCTGGTAAAGGAATAAAAAAATTAACTTGCAATGGTGTAAATAAAATAGGAAACTGATCTATTTCTTGTCATCTAATGCTAAATAAATATGCTTTCACCATATTTACACCTAGGGGCAAGTATTTATAGAGGAAGAGCATTTGGAGTCATTCTTTCCAGCCCTTCTGTATTCACTCACGCCTGAGGAAGTGAACCATAAGAGAGTGTTAATGTGGCTATGCAGTTTGCTGATCTACTAAAAAAATGTTAATCTATCCCCCATAGCCACATCACATGACCCTTTTTTTTTGCCACCACAAAGGGAGAGAGAGGACAATGTTCAAAAGCGTCTTCACTCTGAGCAGCTCAAAAACACGGTCTCACATTACACACCTCGTACTGTAATGCTGCATTATCAGGGTGTGTGTTACAAAGACACATTCTCACATTTTTCTTTTGTCAACGAACCAGGGTGAAAGAGTTATGGTGTCTTTCAGCAAGAGTATTCCAGTTACATTGATTATTGTTACTTCTTGTGTAGTAAATAGACTGGAAATGGTTGCAAAATGGACGTAGTGGGTTTCAGATGTGCATGACATGGCCATGAGATAAATCAGTGGCATGGAGAGCTTGCTAGAGGGCTGTAGTTAGAGACAGAGGCCGTAAATATGTTTGCACTTCGGAGGAACCTGCAGCACATTACAGTCCAGCTTAGGAGGACGTGTTAAAAGCAGGGTGGTTTAGTTTGACAGCTGAGAAACAGAGTTAATGCTCCTTCAAAAGAGATAATGTGAAACACCTGAGGAGCCTCTGGGGTTCTTCTTCTCCTTTAGGGAGGATTTCTCTCAGCTCACATCTATCCCTGCACTGTACCTGGGAATGTAAATGCACCGTGTTGGCAAATGTGTCATGCATGAATTCTTTACTTTTTTGTTTTGTTTGCGCATTTGTAAAGAAAAACTCCGCCCTGAACGACTTGCATATCAATCTTTAGAATTAACACCTGATCTTCAATTGCGACTAAGGCTTTTTTTTAGTTTATACTTCTTTGGTCTATTTTTTTGGTTAATGGTTTCCTACATTACCCATCATGCTGCTGATAGTGGTGCAGTGGGATTTAGCCCTTCGCTTTAAGTCTACTTAAAGAGAACGATGCAGCAGCACTTTAATCCTTTAGTCTAGCCAGCTCTCTCACCTTCTCATCCTTACACAAACAAATCAGCTTCCAAAACTTCAAATATCACCATCGCACTCATCATCTCATATATCGCTAACTAGCCACACCAACTCTCGTGTTGTTTAGCTGCATTGCATTCTGGGAGTTCAGCATTTGCACCAACGTCTCCACTAATTAATATTAATACATTAATGTAATATTAATTCTAATTAATATGACATCAAATGTAGATGGAAAATGTTGAGTGAGAAAAGAATTTTTTACTGTTTTTAGATTTTAGCTAATAGTGAAACCTATTAAACAAATACTTCATTATTTGAGTGGAATTTTCCATTTCCATTAATTATTTTGTTAATTTATTCCTGATTACCATGTACAGGACATGATGTGGTGATTTATGATTTGGGAAATGCTGCTGTACTGTTTCAGCGCATTTAAGTGTGAAGAATCTGTACAATGTTGCCTTTACTTCACTTAAGGCATTTTTTCTGACACACTAATCTCCTGAAGGTCAGGCCTGATGGAAAAATCCCTGCTTCCACTGACCTTCACATTCTGTAACAGAATAGCTTCCTTCTCATGAACGCTGATTTGTTTCAAATCCATCAGCGTTACTAAGATGGTTCTTTCAGAAGTTTCCTTTTTTTACATTTACAATCGAAGTGAGTATTAATCTTAATTGTTGGTATTGGAGATAATAAACTAAATATGGAGTTATTTTCCTGGCAAAAGTAATCAGATATATGCGAGGTATATGAATTGCTTTTATGTTTATTTATGCTTATTGTACAGAACAGTACATTTAACACACAACACTTGTGCAAGTGACCCTGTTTTATCTGGTGTAATAATCCATTTGATATGGAATCTTATCATATGATGCCAGTTACAGGTGGGCAATATGACAAAAATATCATATCACAATACTTAAAGACATTTCAATGTTACAGATTATGTATAACAGTAAACAACTGCCAGCAAAACAGTAGTGCTGCATTCAAAAAAATACTAAAAGCATTTGTCTACAATGTCTACAGATAAATTACTTTGAATT